ACATGCTGAGATCCATTAAACTACATCATCCTCTGGTGGTTCACTCACGAACTTTCTGTGCGCTCATCATGCCAACGCGCCCTCTGGTGACACCATGTGGAATTATGACTCCTAGCAACCTGCCATCTAGTGTCACTTCGTTGAGTTATGATGTCCCCTCTCCTAAGACAGCATCGCCCACTGGTGCCACTTCGTGGAACTATGACGTCATCGTCTCTACCCCTCTGAGGCATCCAATCAGCACGCGATGTCTGAAGTATCCCGATAACTACTAACATTTCAACAAGGCTTTGCTATCATCAGGTACAAGTAGTTCACATAGACACAGGAATATATATATATATATATATATAGTATGGAAAAAAAAAAAGAGGTCACATGGCTGAAGCTTACTTGACAACTTAGTAAAGGAATTTTGGCATTCTGATGTGTTGGTTTACAATAGGGCTATTTTATTCAATTAAAATTGATTTTGTTCCCTTTTGCTTTCATTATATTAACAATCACTGTCCGCTATATCAATGGATAAGGCCAAAACTTCAGTCCTATCAGTACGAGGCATCCATAAACCCCAAAACAGGAACACGATCTACAATTTGACCATTATCACCTAAAACCCATTATGCTACATTCAAATATTGACATGATAATGAATCTACAAATGAACAAGAATTTTCACCATTGGGTTCTGATACCGACTCAGAATCAACCAATTCTACCACTCCTATTAACTTGCCAAAAGCCATGAAGAAAAAACGCATCTACACAAAATTCACTGAGCCACAAATAAGAGAATCCTATAAAAGATCCAGACCAACAGCTACCCATCAGTGACATTGCCAGTATTGAGGAACCACCAAAACAACCAGCAGTTATTACAGAAGGCATTATGAGCTCATTCGGTCAACCTGACATTATTAAGGAACTAAAGACTGCCTTTCCCAAGATCACATTTTCTCACATCAGAAGATTGCCAAAAGAGGGATTATGTATTAAATGTCATTACCCTCGAAATGGTTCAACTTTACTTAAGCCATGGCCTACAAATACACTCCTAGGAACCAAGATGACTGTTCAGGCCCAAGACAAAAATCAGCCCAAAAAACCTCATAGTAATTAGGAGTTTATTACAGGATATTACAAACAAAGAGATCTAGGATTAATTTGCAATCCAGGGCAATTCAGTAATCAAAAGAATCAAGTCAAACAGGATGGGTGAATTGGCTCTACTTATGGGAATCATCCTTACCAATCCCAAGACAGCTGACTTACTCATTCACGATGGAAAACTCTATGGTATATATATATATATATATATATACACACTACACACTACACTGTAGGAGACGACACGACCACCAATAATAGTTAGTTTTACT